AGGTGTTCGCCAATGAGCTCACGCCTTTCGCCGTGGCGTTGAGCGAACAATTACGAGACACTTACCTTCGGATTGTCCGCGAATTACTCGAGCGCAATCAACAAAAAGAGGAAGATGATACATACGGCGACTTCCTTGATGACAAGAGCATAACAGCTTTGGGTGTTCTCCAGACTATTGGCACATTGATTCTCACCTTGGAGAGTACGCCTGATGTTCTTCTGCACTTGGAAACTATTCTCATGCCCGTCATCACTATCACGCTTGAAAACAAACTCTATGGTGAGTCAATATGGCTCCTTCTCGACAATATATATTAACTGGCCTTTAGACTTGTATAATGAGATCTTTGAAATTATCGATAGCTGCACATTTGCTGCGAAGAGCATTTCTCCAACCATGTGGCAGGCGTTTGAGCTTATTCATCGGACATTTAAAGCTGGCGCCGAGTTGTATCTTGAAGGTACGCATCGTTCCAGCTGTGTTGATGTCCTTGCTAAATGTTTCTAGATATGTTGCCGGCTTTGGAGAATTTCGTCAACTACGGATCCGAAACGCTAGTCCAGAATCGCCCATATCTGGACGCCATTGTTGATATGGTTCGAACCATCTTCAAAGACGACAAGGTCGGAGGCGTTGATCGGATATGCGGGTGCAAGCTTGCCGAAATCATCATGCTAAACATGCGTGGACACGTCGACGATTTTGTTCCCGAGTTTCTACAGCTTACAATGGTTGTTCTTACCAACGATGAACCCAAGGTCAAATCTCTACGGATCCATCTCATGGAGGTCGTCATCAATGCAGTCTATTACAACCCGCGTCTTGCCCTCCACGTATTGGAGAGCAATGCCTGGACAAATAAATTCTTCAGCTTGTGGTTCTCGAGTATTGACAGCTTTACCCGCGTTCACGACAAGAAGCTGTGTATTTGCGCAATCTGCGCTCTACTCACATTGAGAGCGGAAGATGTTCCCATCAGCGTGCAGCAAGGCTGGCCTCGACTTCTCCAAGGGATTGTTCGGCTGTTCCAGACCCTACCAGCAGCGATGAAAAGTAAGTGTGAGTATCTAATTCGATTTGGAAATACTGCTAATACTATTCCTTCATCAGACCGAGAAGAAGCCACAAAGGAGGAAAGCTTTGATTTTGTAAATGAATACGATGAAGAGGAGGAGGAGGAGTGGGGTGTTGAGAATGATTGGAATAATGATGCCGATGAAACCGAAGACGTCAAGGACGAGAGCGCTGCGTACTTGGAATTCCTCAACGAAGAAGTAAGTATTCCCTAGCTTTGAGTACCTGCCGAAATTGACAAGTCAAAGGCGCAGAAGTTCACAGCCGTCAGCGACGAGGACGACGATGAGCTTGAGGAAGAGAGCTTGCTTGAGACTCCGTTGGATAAAGTGGAGCCGTATGGCATGTTCAAAGGCGCCTTGCTGAGTAAGTTACCAGCTCTTCCGAATGTGCTTCAGATGCCGACTAATTATATCAGGGCTACAACAAGAGCAACTCCCTCTGTACGAGAACCTCACAAAAAACCTGAACCTAGAAGAGCAGCAAGTCGTCCAAGCTGCAGTTCACCAAGCAGACGTTATCGCCCAGCAAGCCGCACATGCTCAACAGACCAATGGCAACGCTGTCACTACCGAATAGCTTCGCGAAATGAACGCTTTCTTTCCACGCCTTCACCGTTTCCATGCCTTTCCCTTACATTCCCTTATCCTTCCCTTTGATACAGAAATCTTTGATCCAGCGTGCATGCAAACACCCCCCCGGCGTTGATGTTAATTTTCAGGTGGACGGCGTCAAAGATAAGCGTTTGTATGTTTGCAGATAGTGCAAGAGTGAGAGAGAGAGTGTGTGTGTGTGGGGAGGGGCTGTGGATGGAAAAGGAGAGACTGAGAAATATTCGATGACGATACAATATGAGGGCAACCAAGGGAACACGTGTCTATGTAGTTAGGAAAGACAGGCTTTCTTCATTTTCATTGGCTCACCGATCCCCCACTGACGTAGGTAGTTTGATTCAAGGCAGCTGCCTTCTTGTTGGTTATATCGGCCCATCTTGAGCGAATGTTCCAAGTATGATGGCGATTGGACGAGATGAATTGGATGGCGATGTGAATGTTTGTTACGAGCGTGTAATGCACTATTGGGCATGCTCATATTTATTACCCTCTCTCTTTTCCGCGTCAACCATCAATGAAGATCCAAGATAGCGTTCATGTTCAAGAAGATTGCTTTTTGTGAAGAACCTAAGATGTGCAATCCAAATCCTCTGAAATGCAGCAAATCGCCATACAAGGTGAAACATTCACGTCGGGAAGAGTTCGTGGTGAAGCTCATGCAACTGCTAGAGACTTCAACACCTCTTCCTGGCCCAAATACAGCATCTTGAACTTGGATATGTAGTCATCGCGGTTGACTATGGAGTATTAGCTTCTTTGTCCTCGGTCTTGGGGGTCCTGCGCTTACTGTAACCGCCACAGACTCGTCTTTTACCGGTAAATGCAGAACGTCCATGAAGGACTCGCCAGTTGTCGAAAACTACGAAGGTCAGCTTTTCCGGATTTTAACTACCACATAGAGTAAGATTTACCTAGCACCCTTCCAGGCATAAGTTGGCACCAATACTCGGACTCAGGTGCCCTTAGTAAATTCGACCATTTCCTAATCCAACCGTGTCAGCCATTAGGTCGCTGGATAGGTTAGAAATGGAATCCACTCACTCCGCAGCATCATACCACCTCTGAACCTCCTCCAGCGGCATATCCACCGCCGCCCGATCCGAACTATTCCACCTCACCTGTACCAAATGGTGCGTATTTGGATCATGCAACAGGACTGGAAATGCACGATACGGTTGAATGCTAATGCCATCGTTCCCGCTGGCATGTGAGTGGACGTTCACGGTGCTGAGCAGGTCGTAAGCTTCAGGGTAGTGGCGACTAAGGTCTAGCGCCGCTTGGAAGCCGTCAACGAGGAGGGAGGCGCCCCCAGAGCCATCAGTGTGCGAGATGATGTGGAAGGCTTGCAGGCCGGCAGGGTCGGAGAAGTAGGTTGTATCGGTGTGGGCGTCTAGGGCGATGGAGGTGTAGGCGGTGTCTTTGGAGGAGAGGTCGGATGTGAAGTCGTAGAAGGCACCTGAGGCTTGATTAATTCCTGCCATTCAGGGTGTTCATTCGGTGATGGTACCATAGTGCGTGTTTCGGATGAACGAGATCCTCTCTAATAGTTTCTGGGTATCTTGGGGTGTGGCTGGAGTGCCATCGACGTAGCAGAAGCCGTATTTACGCTGGGAGATTACGTTAGCATCGGATTTATTACCACTGGGGATGGCAGCTTACAATCTTGGATAACCATTCTTTAAGTCCTTCATCTGACTTCATGACCGCCCCGTAATCTACAACTGGTGGGTTGTGCTTGATAGAGTTGGACCAGAGCGAGACCCTTACACACAATGAAGATTAGTATTAGTATTCGTCAGAGGAGCTGGAGCATATTACTTCGTTAGACCTTGCCTTACTACGCCTTTGTTCTTCAAGGCGCTCTTTGCAAGAAACTCGTTGGTGTAGTAGCTTTCGTGACCGTCACTCCCTATCTTTCGTTAGACTGCTTTTGGCACAATGGCCCAAATGACACTTACAAGACACTTGAATACCATGGTCATCTTCAATACACGATTTGATGAATAAGCTGTGAGAGATCTGAGGCAACGTGTCAGATACTGTGACTAATATACACAATCTTCTACCTACCTACCCGAAAAGTGTCAAGCAGGCGTTGCTTGGTGACTTCATGCACACAACTGCTGCACTGGCAATTGTCCCTAGTCGAATAAGCAAGTGATCATGTGTTTGACAGGTCGTTATCACACCTTAGCCATATCTTCGGACTATCAATGTCACCGTCTGTTAGCGGAAGTATAAGACTCGAACAGGAAGGAGACATACACGTTCACGAATTTATTTGCTTTGTCCGAATACACCATAATCGAGTTCCCATGCACCACGGGATGTTTGAGCGCAGGGTTCCTAGGGGGGGTAGTCATTACATGCTTCATCAAGGATTAGCGTTAGAGCCAAGAACATGGATCTACGTCTGCTGTACCAAGGGCTCTGTAAGTGATGAGTTTAGCTTTTGAAGTGCTGCCCGAATATTTCGAAGCCCGCTGGAGAGTTCTTCTTCATGGGCTAAGGATGAGTACGGGCAGATTACACTGGCCATTTTCGCGTTCCATCCTGGTCTCTTGCGTGCCTTGAATGAAGTCAATATAATGATGCTTAAAGCATATTCATGATCCACAAACCTGATGAAGAGACCGAGTGGGAATGGACAACATGGAGGCGCTATGGTTAGGAATCACTGCAGGCCTAAAGATCTACTTTAGACGAACATATTCCTTTTATTGAATACCCTGCAGATCTTACCGTGATTTGATAGCTGTGGTAAGCGCTTTGGGGAGAGACATGGTTGATATTGGTGTCATCCAGGAGCCCAAATCGGGAACAACGAGCCTTAACGACGTAGGTATTTTGAAAGAAGAGAAAAAAGACCAGCTTTGTGGAGGAGAAGCATCAAATAAGTAAATAAAGCTATTCACGCCTGTTCATGGCATGATATCTGGGGTGGTTGAAGACTTCAACTCGGGAGTCGGTTATGTGGCTTCGCTTCAGCGGAATCAGCCCGCACAACCTCTCAGCTAATCCAAATATCCCAATCGCTTAAAAAATAATAAAAACTAGGCACTAAGCCAAATTAAAATATCCAAAATAAAAAAGGGAAAACAATAGAGCAATATATAACACCAGTGGAAAGCTAGATAATCAAAAATATTCTGTGCAACGTGGGACTAGCGCCAAGGAAAGTCCTCTCGTTGTTGGCATTTATTGGTTCGTTTAATTTAAACACCTCGTCCGATCCTTATCGATAATCGCTTGGGCGGATTTTTATATTTAATGTCATATACGTAATAATTTCGGACCAATGTATTAATTGGCAGCGTGGCCTAATGGTAAGGCGCTACTTTCCGGTGGTAGAGATTGACGGTTCGAGTCCGCCCGTTGTCGACTATGTTCGCTTTCTTTTTTTTTCCATTATATTTCCTCCTTGGCAGGAGGGATGTAAATCGTTGGCGGCCAAGAAACTGTTAATATTTTGCGAAAATTCGCGAAACCTGCAATTCTCCACGCTCAAATGTATTATAGGTCTAGATAAAATTATGTGTAAGTTGTAAACTCTACAAGGCTCTGGCTGCTCTTGTCGGGACATTCAACGTTCTGCAACCACAACTCAGCTCTGCATGAGTCAATGTATGGAAATATTAGCACGGAACAGCTTATTCATGTTTACAGCTTAATTAAACCTGTTCCGTTACCGCGGAGTTAAAAAAGTAACTTTAACTATTAAAGCTTCAAGTTTAACTTTCACTGACATTAAGGTTAAATACGGTCTAGTTGTGGCTGAAGAGCGCCGAAGGAAGTTGGTTTCTGTTAAAAATTTAGGTTAAAACCTCTCGATTGCAGACAGCTTTGCTAGAGTTGCCTCTCAAGCAAGGAGAAGACATTTTAGGCTCAATCCTCATTTCCGCACCACCACACTTGCAAAGCCTGGCTCCGTCCGAATCCAAGCTCTCGTCGTCCTGGTCTTCTTCCTCGCTATCCGAAATAATGTATTTTCTTATACCTCGTTTGGCAGCTTCCTTCTGTTGCCTGATTAGTTGTTGTCAAAAGCGACAATATCACTTTTTTAAAATTGAAGATATCAGTGTCCATGTACCTCTTTTCTCTGTCGTTTTCTCGCCTTATTTTGCTTGCTATGCGTGTTTCTCTCATCTCGTCCGCCACGAACGATCTGTTCCCTTACGTTCTGCTCGATCGGTTGAGTAGGAAAGCCCTCATCGCGAATAAATTCATCTGTGCTGCTACAAGCATCCTCGTCTGTTATGATGACTATGTCAATATCCTTCGAATCAAAATACATCAACACGAAATTGTGACTTTGCGCAATTTCATCCGAGCTTCAGAGCCTTGAGGTTAGCCTACCCTAGTGTAACCTTTGGTGCTACCTCGGGACAGTGTTGGTGAGGATCATCAACTGAGAGGGATCCTTGAAGAATGCATGCTTCACGCATCCCAGTGCCACTAATCCAACGCGAAGTTACTTAGGTTCATCGAGCCAAGGAGATATCCAAGCTGGTTCTCAAATCCGATGTCAAGCCAGGGCTATTCTTGAGAACTGCGAACAGCTCATCTTCTTTGCTGATTTCTGAAGGCAAGGACAGGTCAGTGATAGCTATCGATGACAAGTGCTCCAGGAGAGCCACATTGGCGAAATTTACGACCCGGCGGTCCCAGCCTTTTCAGCAGATTGAAGATCGATCACCTGTGCAAAAAGACTGTCTCTCACCAGTCCGGTACGGATATTAAGCTATTAAGCTTCCCGTACTTGTCTGTCAACACTTGCACGACCTCTCCGCCGTTGTTGCTAGCGTTGCCTTCATCTATGGCGTTATTATCTGCGGAAAAAGATTCGATATTTCTCTTATAGCTCTTTTTATTGCTCTTCTCCCCAGCGGCCGTCGTACATCCAATCTTCACATCAGTTGAGCCTGGCTTCTTCCTGTGCCGACGCGACTTGGCTTTCGTTGATCTCTGTCGGCTAGGCCGCTTCAGCTCTAGTCAAGCCACTGTTTCAGCAACGTATGGGTATATAGATAGGGGTATCGGCACCTTTCAATCAACAGGAGATTCAATCTTTACAACAGCTTCCAGCTGATAATCTGTCTTGCTTCTGCATTTTATCAGAGACCGGCTGAATCTCGACTTCTGCCGTCACGCCGTAGGTCGTCTCTATATGATCGTTCCGATAGATTCCTCGCTTCCTCCTCTCGGTAATTGCCATCTAATTTCAGTGGATGTCATCAAAAAGCCGTTGAGGTGAGACCTACCAAAGTTTAAATCCTCAAATTCTTCTTGGCTTCTACGTCAGCAATGTCTGGCTCTGGAACACCAGCCCATTAAAGAAGTTGTTGTAGCGCCTCATCCCACTGTTCTAAATTGTCAATATCTTTCCTTTGCGGCACCCGTGGTCTGTAGCCATTTTCAACTCCCGGTCTTCCATCTTCTAAATTAAGATCTTTCCTGAGTATAGACGTTAGAAGAACACAGAATTTTACCGATTAATGTAGGAGCTGGTTAGAGGCAGTAGTGAAGTGCACGTATACTTGCGTGAAGTGAGCCTTGATACCGAGGGTAGCTGAATTTCACTGATACTTCGACCTCACTTTTGAGCCTTAAAAGCGCACATATTGGGAAATCGATATCTTCACTATCATTCGTAAGGGCGTTTTAGACTCGTTTTAGAATCAATTTAGCTATTTGAAGACCTCCGAGCCAGATTTGGTTAATATTAAATTTGACGTTCTATATTGTCGTATCGCCACTTCGTACATGCAAACAAAGGCTGACTCAAGATTTTCTATATAAACGTAGATACTACCAACTACATTTATTCATAGGAAATCGGCTTGGACGAAGACGTTTCAATTATATTTCTTCTGCTTGGGAGCTTTATTGCTTAGACTAAATGGGTTAGAGGACTTCTGAAAGTCTTGAACGCTAGTCAATCGATAAGTGCCCAAGTAAGGGTGGTGGGCTTCGAGTCTTTACGACTATGCGAGAATCTAGGCGCAATTTTGTGTACCTTCAAATTCAAGCTGGAGCTAGGGGCTACTTTTGGGTCTTTGGGGCCTAAAGGAGTAGCGTCTAGAATTAAGATAGACTACGCGATCTGATTAGGCGTATTAGGTGTATTTCAGCGTCTGTCACAAATTTTGAAGGCCGCTGAGTTGAACTGAGCAAAGGTGAAACTACATGTACTAATTATGAATGCTATCGCTTCATGGGCGAAAGCAGATGCTGTTCGGAGGTCTATAGAAGCTTCCATATGCATGATGCAGAGAAGATGAAAGCATATCTGGAGCTGGCTCGACGCCATTCAATGTTCAAAACTGTCCATGAAAGCAAGCATTTCTTGTCCGCTAAAGCGTGTAACATTTTCTACTACGTACCGTGGGCCTAAGAACATGAAACGAGCATCGTCCGATGGCCCAAGCAATTGGACAATAAAAACTTCTCCCATGACCACAAGGGGGCGATTTAGAGTCTTTCATCGAGCCTAGTAGTCTGTTTCTGTATGGGAGGTTGGCATTATCAATGCCGTTAAGCGCGGGTCGCTGATACTTGGTATTAACACAAGACAAGTGCAAGAGTCCAAGCACTACATGACTCGGCCAACTGACCTTTAGATACGTTGTGTAGAACAATTTATACCCTAAGAGCGAGTAGTTCGGCGATTTGATAATTTTGTGGGGACCATTACCACGTCGAGGGAACTCGTTTCATACCTCTGCATTGAGTTTGAAAGACATCTTACAGATGGTGCCATGCGCTGTTTTCTAATTCGAAGGGTGTTTTGAAGAGTTTGGCATATCTGATGTTAGAATTATTTTCCAAAGGCACCATGGCCTATTGGTAAGGCGCTCGCTACTTTCTGGTGATAGAGAGATTGCGGGACAAGTATACTTGAGATCCCCAATTTGGCACCATATAAAGCGATCAAGATCCGAATGATACGTATGAAAGCTCCACTGAAGGCGTGAGCAAACATTGAAATGAGTAAGACGACCACTTTAAGTTGAAAAATTTCGTAGTCTGGAAAACATAACAAGAACGAAAAATCATGGTTGGGAACAATTCAAAATATGAAAGTTACAAACTTGATACTTGCCGCCTTGATTTTGGCTGAATGACGGGGACAGAAGGCGATGGGCTTCGCCGGCGCCAAGCCCGGAATCTCGCCTAATCCTGGAGCTTCATGTTCGTAAGCCAAAGCTGCCTCCAGCAGTTCACTAACTTATCAACACAAACTGCATCTACACTAACCGTCAAACCTGACTACCAACCTGCTCTACCTACCAAAACCCCATTTCACGACACTTGCATCAGCTCTACCCCAACCTTAATTCCGAGCTCACCGTCATCGCCATGTCAACGCTAGAAGACCTCGATGACCTAGAGCGCGAGGAGAAGGAGGACAAGAATGAAGAGAAGAAGAAGGATGACGGAGACAAGGATGGAAAGAGGGCTGATGGTGCCGGAGATGCTGAAATGAAAGACGCGGTGCCTGAGGAGAAGCCAGAAGATGTCTTGGACGAAGAGATTCTGAACTCAAGCACACGAGACATTGTTGCACGGAAACGCCTGCTCGAGAATGATACCCGGATAATGAGGAGCGAATTCCAACGTCTAACACATGAGAAGGCGTCAATGCATGAGAAGATAAAGGATAATTTGGACAAGATCGAGAACAACAGGCATGTTCATATACTTCAGCGAGGCCAGCTTCATCATTATACCCTTGAGGAAGGCCTGGGATCATCAATATGCTGACTTTCAAAATGTAGGCAACTGCCTTATCTCGTTGGTAACGTTGTTGAGATACTTGACCTGGACGTTACGGCAGAGGCTGCTGAAGAAGGCGCAAACATCGATCTTGACGCCACTCGCGTAGGCAAATCTGCTGTCATCAAGACTTCAACAAGGCAAACCATCTTCCTTCCGCTCATCGGCCTGGTCGATCACGAGAAACTCAAACCCGGTGATCTAATCGGTGTGAACAAAGATTCCTATCTTGTTCTAGACACATTACCCGCGGAGTATGACAGTAGAGTGAAGGCTATGGAGGTTGACGAAAAGCCGACGGAAAAGTACACGGATGTTGGTGGCTTGGACAAACAAATCGAAGAGCTCGTGGAAGCCGTCGTATGGCCGATGAAGGAAGCTGAGCGGTTCAAAAAGATCGGCATCAAGGCACCTAAAGGTACGATCGATATATCGAATAGCCTTCGCATCTCTAACTTCAATCTCTGCTAGGTGCTCTCATGTACGGTCCTCCTGGTACCGGCAAGACCCTTCTCGCCCGAGCTTGCGCTGCACAAACGGATGCCACCTTCCTCAAACTCGCCGGTCCCCAACTGGTACAAATGTTCATAGGTGACGGTGCTAAG